GCTCTGTAAAGGTGTTGCTATAAATTTTTATATGTACATGAATAAATTGAAACATTATGTGCAGACCATGTAAACCTCTTGTAATTTGTTATTTAAAAAAAAAATCTTTAAAACAATATATCTTTGCTATGCATAAGTATCAAAATGTTTCTTAAGTAACCCAAAAGAACTGATTGGCTGACCTGGAATCCCTGTTACCCATAATTCCAAAAGCATTAGACATGACTGGAACGGGTCTACAATATTTTTTAAAGTTATTTTCTTTTTAATAATGTTCACCCAAAGTAGGATTATTAAAGTTAAATAATCTTTATTGAATTACATAAAAAACGTATTACTTATCCCTTACATATACATACATTTAATTGAGAACCCTCATAGCACTCCAGCAGTCCTAGTTGAGAGAAACACATGGTTCCTCTTATATTTTCTCCTGCAGAAACGATTCAAAAAGTTAAAAAGTGTGCTTCCGGGTTGTGTCACGCTTGTTGTACGAGAATAAAAAAAACGGACGCTTCAGTGAACAGATTTGAAGTTTCCCTATCGTGTACTCAAAAAATTGGCCTTTAAAAAATGAATTTTTATGTGCTAACACATATCTAGGTGTAAGACAATTTTTTTTTTCATTATACAGCATCAACAACTACAAATGAATTATATTCGTACACGAACCGGTGAGACTTACACATCTGCATCACTCTATTTTCTTGTGCCGAACGGTTTCCATTGTGTAGATACGACAATATTTTGTATCTCCAACAGAAACCTGAAATATACCATAAATCAACGAGACTGTGATCACACATCCATCAGTGAGAGAATGATGTATGATCACAGGGGAAAATCCTAATCAAACCTCTAAAAACGAAACTATGGAAACCCAAGTAAAGCTCTATGCGTGTCATGTAACATACCATATACACATACCAGACAAAACAACATCAAAAAGCTACCCACCTTAGTATTTTTCTCCCCTTCAGGCTCTTGTTTTCTCCTTCATGCAGTAGATTTACAAGCAAACTTTTCCGTTACTGTAGAGCACGTTTCACTCGCCTTCTAGAACACTCCTGTTACGCGGTTTGATGAACACTTTCACTTCCGGTTTCATGACCAAGCCACTGCACTCACCCTACAGTTTACACCAATGACTGTACACCGATGACTCTGACCACTGACACCAATGAAAAACTACTAAAGCGCAGTCTTCTCTTTCTGTTTATTCTGCGCTGTTGCAGATCTTTACTGAAGGCAAAGTGAAGCTTTCTAAAGGATTGAAGCTTGTATAGAAAAATGGTTCATTTCTCGAAGCCAACACAGTCCTATTTAGTGCCCTCTGGTGGCCAAACATATGAAGAGCAGCTTGACTCTACAACTTGAAATTAACTGCTTTATTACGACTGCCGACTCTTTTATCAGGTGAATTAAGAGCTTTGTTTAATAGAAGCAAGAATATATTCCAAAAGCAATTTTCCTAACTTGTTTTTTTAGTCTTTCCAGCTTCAAACCAATGACTGTAGAAAACAGTTTTCTACAGTCATTGCTTCAAACAGTCTCAAGGAGGCAGTATTATTTCCGGGTTATGGGGACTACACTTCCGGTGTTATTTAACGAAGAAACCGCTGTACATGCTCTCGGCCATGATATAAAGAAACTTTTTGATTTGAAGTTGTCCTTTGAAGGTGAGTTTTCTTTACAGAGGAATTGCTCTGTTTCGACGCTTCATACTAAATTAGACGGTTAGCTTACCTGAGTCATAGCACTGCTGTGTAGGGTTAGCCCTCCTGTGATATTATCGAGTCGATGCAAGAGGACTGCATAGGCTAGAATAGAATTCAACTTTACTGTCATTGCACATGTCACAAGTACAAGGCAACGAAATGCGGTTTGCATCCATCCAGAAAGTGCTTTAGACATAATATAGGTATATTACAAAATATATATTAGCAATAATATAGATATATTACAGAAAAGGGTCTGTTATAGGTATGAGGGTACAAAAATATGGGTCTATTATGGGTATGCTACAATGTACACAGTATGAGGGTATGTTATGAATAAGCTATAACTATAAGTATGTACAGGCTGTAGTGAGTGTACAGGCTATGAACAGGATATAAATATGAAATATGAAGCTATACAGAAATATGAAATATAAAAAAACTATACAGAAATAATAAATATAAGCTATACAGAAATATGAACTATGCAAGTTAACCGTTTATAGAATTATAATTATTGTATTGTACAGAATGATTGTCTATACAGCATTTACAGTAGTGCAGTTTAGATTATAGAGATATGTGGATAATCGCTACAAAACTACTATATATATATATATATATATATAACTACTGCGCTCTGCATCTAAAAATTCACTTTAAACTACACTACCATTCAAATGATTTAGAACACCCCAGTTGTTCCAGTTTTCTATTGAAAATTATGCAGTTTAATGTCTCACAGCACTCTGAAATGAAAGCATAGTACAAATAAGTAATTGGAGTTAAAAAAAAATAAATAATCATGGAGTCAATTTATAGACCAAAATGTATTCTAAACTTCTTACTTTTCAAAGTAGTCACTTTTGGCTCAAATAACAGCTGAACTCACCCGTGGCATTCTTTCTACAATAGAAATAAAATATTCTTCAGAAGGTTCTTTCCATATCTGTTGCAGAAGTTTCCATAAATGTGTGGCACTTGTAGGTTGCTTTGCTTTCACTCTTTTGTCCAGTTCATCTTTTAAATCTGGAGACTCATGTTTTCAGGGTTACCATCTTGGTCTTTTTTCCTGAGGTAGTTCTGGCATAACTTGAACTTGTTTCTGAGTGTCTGTTGATAGTGAAGGAAGCTGTACTCACTGACAACTTGACTTTCTCTTCAATTTCTCTGTAGGGAAGACCTACATTTTTAAGTGTTATGATGGTCTGTCTCTTTTGTATTGTTAATTGCAATGCAATACTTTTTCCCCACCATTTTTGTAGCAACACACTACTTTCTGCAGTGCAGTACTGTTCAACTGATGCTCACAAGTGTGTTCCAACACTGCTTTTATGCAGACACACGGGGTTGTAAGTAATCCAGAAAAGCTGGAACCCCATTAGGAATTAGCAGCACCAGCTTTCAAGGATTGATCAACTTCCACTGCTGCAGAACAGCTTTAAATTGTTAATGCATTTTGTGTTCTCTGAAAAAGAGCTTATTTTTCAGTTTTGTGTAATCTTACTTTTTTTAACCTCTGGCAGCTCACCACTTACATTTGTACCATTTCAAGCTATTCATTGGACTTGAACAACTTGAATTGCAATAAATAATTGGAAAAATTGGGGTGATCCAAAACCGGTAGTGTATATTTAATCCCATTTTAAAATCTGTAATTAATTTAACTGTACAATCATATATTTTAGAAATGCTCATCTTGTACAAAATATCCTTTCATGATAAAATTACTGATTACTACAAGTTATTGTTCAATGCTCTGCACAGATATGAGGTCCTTTAGATTTTATTCTGAGATAAGAATAAATTCCGCATGACCTCTTGGCTGCTGTACTGTCCACGCTTAATAAATGCAACCTTGCTAAACACAATCCTCTGTGGTTGGACTTAAGTATTTATAAAGATGTAAGCTTGGGCAGTTTAAATCGTTGGAACCTTATTTAATAGATCCTTCATGCTCAGCAGGAGGGAAGGAGTCAGAGAGAGCAGATTAGGTTCAAAACTCTTTTAACCCAGCAACTGACCCTGTGTTTATGCTGTTGGAGGTGAAACGGTGAGTTCCCCTTATCTCAGGGGCAACAAGAAGTCGCAGTGTTTCCAGTAGCTTAATTTGTGTTTCCTAAATTTCGATCTTGATTTAAAAAATGCATGTCCATACCTGCTTTGTATTATTTTTTTTATTGCCAGATACATCCCAAATATTTTATCCGATTAAAGGTATCCTGAGGATAATCTGACCATGTTACACCACCTTCTGTTGTCTTTCCTTAGCTTCTTCGTGTGGCCCCACCTGATACCCCGACTTGATACCCTGGCACAAATCTAAACATGACGGAGCCACGCAACCCCAGTATGTCCTCCATCCCTCAGACGGGCCCTGCACACACAGACTCCAGCTCACCTGCTGTAGAGATGGATCCAGTGGAGTACACTCTAAGGAAGCGTCTTCCCCGGAAGCTCCCAAAAAGACGCAACGACGTCTACGTCAACATGAAGACGGACTTCCGGGCTCAGCTGGCGCGCTGTCAGAAGCTTCTGGAAGGTGGGGGTCACAGAGAGATCTGTGTTCACGGCTTGGGCCTGGCCATCAACCGGGCTATTAACATTGCCCTTCGGCTGCAGGCCAGCAGTCAGGGGGCACTACAGCTAGCAGCCAACACCTCCACAGTGGAGCTTGTGGACGACCTGGAGCCTGAAGATCCGGATGAGGCCGGAGAGCCAATGACGCGTACACGTAACAATTCAGCCATTCACATAAAGGTGTTCTATCCTGACGCTCAGTGACCAATCAGGAGGTTTCCTGTGGATCAGCCTGAGATTCTCCATTTGCCCTCAGGCTCTGTTTGTTCCTTCGTTAACCAGTAGATCACAAACACTGAGTTTATGTGGAGAGGCACCTTTGCTATTCATGTGTTGTATGCATTTTTCAGTCTGCATGCTTTGGAGCAACACTAGTGTGCACTATAATTTATACATATGTGGCTGTGCCAACTTTTTTTTTATGTGTTTAATGTTTGTGTGTTCAGGTTTTAAAGATGCCAATAAGAAAGCAGCAAACAGGTGTTATTGTTGTAAATCTCCACTAGGTGGCAGTAGCAGCTACAATAAACATTGCAGGAAGTTGTTACTCTGCAGACTAACTTCTGTAGCTCCATCACAACAGTGTTTTGTCAAATTGTTTACAGTGTGAGTTCAGCTGAGGGTCACTGAGACGTAGACTCTGTTTAAATGTGATTTGTGTCTCTGAACTGCTGCTCAAAATATATATAATGAATGCTGGATTGTTTGAAATCTGGGTAAAAATAAAAACTTGCCAGAGTGTATCTTTCTTTAACTATTATTTCTGTATTCGTGACTGGAAAATTTTGTGTGGAACCAGTAAATTCTGCTGTGGCTTGTACTCGGCACGTGCTTGTTCACCCCATCGAGAGGGGGGAAAAAGGCAAAAATAATGAATGAGATGCACAAACTTCCCCTTTGTTGTGTTTCCATCCATCCTTTCTTTATCCGAGAACAACATTTCGTATTTAAATAGGGAATCATACAGTGATGGGACAAAACAACACAAAACAGGAAAGAAAACACATACAAACATCCTTAAAAACATCTTGCACTTGCACGACAAGATATAAAAATAAGGGAAAAAACAAGGAAGAACACTTAACTAATCTGAAACAGTTGAGCATCCATTTTACAGAAAGCCTCGAGTTCCCAGGGCTCACTGATTGCCTGGCTGAGGTTTGATGACGAACAATAGAGGGAGGGAGAAGACGGTGTCGCGTCAGCCTCTGGAAAACTATTTGCGATTACAGCCCCACAGGATGTAAATTGTAAGTTTTTCCAGACAGTCTGGCTATCAGCGTGTAGAGACGGGTTGAGTGTAGTCAGGCAAAAACAACAACACGGACAATGACGTAGCAGCTTCACAGTTCTCATGTAACCTTCCTCACTGACCTCTCACACCCCCAAACTCACTGGAACTGAACATCAGCTATGTAAGCCTTTGTTATTTGGAAAGGACATGCAGTGTCAAACAGCCAATCAGGTACACACAATCATCAAAAAACAAAAGAAGAAAGAGCAGCAAACACCTTTGCAAATGTGTTCAGTGTTACACAACAAAACATGACAAAGAGCCCAACCAGCATGTTAGACCTGACACTACGTCAAAGATTGAGCTTAAAGTAGAAAAATCTGTATAAATAGTAATTACTCAACTTTAAAAATATATTAAAATATTCACTGAAAAAAATCTGAGAGACTGTTTCTGTGAGGCAAAGTTGAAAAATGTGGAAACCATGAGTGAGGCCACGTTAGTTTCTGCCTCCAGTAGTGAAATTGATGCCCAGGTGTAGTCAGTATTAACTGGGTGTTTCCCTCTAAAGAAATAAGTGTAAGGGTCAGACTCGCTGAAAACAGACGCACACGGACGACACTGAAACGTTCAGTCTTAGCTCACCCACACTGAAGTACATTCACACACAAAGTGCAAGAGAGTGCCAGTAAAACAGCTATTGGAGCAGTGCTTCCCAAAAGCATCACTTTGGTCTTTGTCACCGTGTCCATGAGTCACATCTACTTTCCAAGGTGCGTTCATCTCCTGTCCATCCAAAGCGTTGCTGAGACAGTCCTATCCTTTCAGCTCTTCCTCTGCATGCGACGACTGCTGCGTCTTTCTCATTCCACACCGCTTCCAGCAGCGTGCAGGTTAACCAGTGTCACATTTCTCCTCTTGCCTTTGGAAACACAAATTTCTTCGCCCGGGATGGGGCGATCGGTCGATCAGCTGACATCTGGCTTGCATGCCTGTGCACTCGAAAGAAGAAGGTGCACTTTGCCTCGCAGGAAGTTGACGTGGACCTGAAGCAGATCTGTTGCTAAGGACACCCTCCATGTTCCCTCAAGGTCTGTTGCATTTGCTGGTGGTGTAAATTCCTGAAAGAGAATGCAAAGAAACACGATGTGACCCCTGAGTCATGACGCGCTGTTCTTACGACAGGAGTTTGTCCTTCGGGACAGTTTGGACCTGAATGTCTGTGACTGTGCTCCGTTTGTCTGTTGCCAAAGAAAGAGTCTCTATTTCACTTCAATGCAGTAAGTGAGACCATCTTAGAACCAAATAAACTGGCTCTAATCATCAAGTACATACCTTTCCCCACATTTTCCAGTGCCAGATTTTTTAAAGGTAATATAATTTTTTTATATGGTTTATGCAAAGTAGCAATGATAAGAATAAAACATGCATCACTCTTCTGCAATGCCTTTCCCTAATCTTGCCTATCACATGTCCAGAGGCGTAGATGTGCTGGAACACACTGTACTGATGCTTCACCGCTTTTTCCCCCAAATGACAAAATTCGAGCCAATATTCACAGCTGGCTCGATTGGTTATCACAGTTATTAAGACAGACAACAACAAAAAATGTGGGGTCAAAGTTGTGATCGTGGTATTTAGAGCTAGATTTACTAACATCTGCACAG